TGTGGGTGTGGGTGTGGGTGTGTGGGTGGGTGTGGGTGTGGGTGTGGGTGTTGGTGCGGGTGTGGGTGTGGGTGTGGGTGTGCGAAGCAACGACTATACCGATACTCACACCCACACCCACACACACACCCCACACCCACACACACACCCCACACCCACACTATGTCATACAGAATTGCCTTTATTAAAAAGTAAATGGACTTTGACATTGAATGAAAAAATTGAACGATTGATCATAGAGGGAAATTCAATAGTTGAACAATTTGGAGAACAAAGTTATATCTATTTTTCGAATCTTCAAGATCTTCAATTGAAACTTGACTTCACATATGATTCTGAAATTTATGATCGATTTGCAGATGCGGTAATGAAGTTCTTGAAATATTTTAAAAGCCTAAAAACTTTACTGATTTCTTTTAATCGACTATATTCTGAGATGCCAAGATCTACTTCCAATATAGAGTTGAAGAAAATTCTTCAAAGATTAGACAAGAATGAAATTGAAGAAAACTATGAAATCAAAGATGATCATCGTCAGTATGTCATTTTTTTCAAAAAAAAACCTACAACCTCTGAGTTTTTATCAACTTTTTCTGTTAATTGATTCATTCAACTTTTTTTCATAATAAAACTGAAAATATACCGAATTTTCTGTATGATCTTCGAAATCTACATTTCTATTAATCCGATATAAAACTAATAAATCATCAACTTATTATTTATTATCGATTGGAACCAAGAAGAATATGGGTGTGAGTCTGGATGTGGATGAAGAGAACATCCACGTCCACTCCGTACGCATCTTTCATGATACTACTTCGCTACTTATCTCTTTTAGAATCTTCAAACTAAAATTATATAACGGAGAGTCAAATGAAAAGTCGTAGGATAAGGTAAGGATAGAAATCTTATATAGGATAAAAGTTGAACTTTTACAGAGTATGCTAAGGTAAGTGTAGGACGTTATTGTTCTCAGTCAGGGTAGATAATATAAAAAAACAGCTTACCCTGTACATTTATATATCCAAGCCACCTAATCGATCATGATTCAAAGACGTTCTGGTCTAGTAGTGAAACTCGCCATCATTTTTCATACTTATTAACAGTAATTATAAGAATACATGTCTTAACAGTGACTAGTGCTTTATCAAGAAATTTATTTAACACATCTCGATTGACTTTTACTCAAACATGAACACATTTGTCATGGAATTAAATCGATAAGATATTATTTATTTGCTTATATGAGAAATTCAAGAACAACCAGCATAAATAAAACTTCTCCTTTTTTGCTTTCATCTTTTTCTTTTGATTATATTCTGTATTCGGAATCCCTACTTTTGTTCACCTTACGTATGTAAATTGTTTTTTGCCCATTCTTTTTCTAGAGAAACATATTTGATAAAGTTTACTAAGAAGACTATTGTGAACGATGGGGTGCGGATGCATATACCTCTAAATTCTGTGAAACAAATTTCACATCCACACTCACACATCCTTCAGAATTGTAATTTGGTGATCATTAACATAATGGGTGACCTCTTGTAAACTTTATCTATTACAGGAAAAATTTCGGATCTATGAAAATAACATATCTTGAAAAGACATGCTTTCATCCAAACGGGAAACTAGAGTAGAGTAGTTGTTCTCTCTCTATGTTCGTCTATTTCCATTTTAGTATGAAATTCACAAAAAAAACTTTAGACTGGATGAGTTTAGTTAATCACTAGAATGGCTCTCATCTATGATGTAAACCATAATGAGTCTAAATTATTGTTCAAACGTCTTTCGAATTCTTTTTCATATATGAAAAATTTCTTTTAGATGAATTACTGATTTATTAGAGAAAATGATAAAAATGAACATCTGTTTAAATAAGATAAACATATAGATAAAAAATAAATGTATAGATAATTAAAAACCACAACTACGACCATTAGGAAGTGTCATTGAACCTTCACAATTTCTTAATGTTCCTTCCAATCTATCAACAACAGCACCATTTCTATCATAAAATATTGCTGCAAATGAAACTGATGTTGGTCGTCCAGTATTTAAATCATCATATGATAATGCAACTTCCCATTGTACATCACCTATATTATTTTGTAAATGTTGACGTATTCTTCCTTCAGCTTCAAACCAATCAATTAATATATGTGATGCTCGATAATTACGATTTAAACTACGATGTTCTGGAAACATATTATATGCTGCTGGTGGACCATTAAATACACTTGCAACAATATGTCCACGTTCATCTCCTGATAATGCATTTAAATTTGTTCTCATATATTGTGTACTTGTACTACCTGACGATGGAAAATTAACTCGATTATTTGGATTATAATGTCGAGGTGTTATTCGTGCTATAACAAATTCAACCCGTTCAGTGTATCCAAACAAACCACGTGGTAGTCGTCGAACAACGCTTTCCTACAACAACATAAAATACTTAGAAAAAATTTTTCTTCTATTATTTAATTATTTTTTTTAAATAAAACGACAAACTTTAACTGACCTGAATTGGATTATTAGGATCATTAGGTGTTATTCTTCGAATTTGATTTGAATTTTGTATTAAACGTTGATAGATTTCTTGTAATATTGTATTAATAACTAATGTTCCAACAACATATATGCCATGAGCTCCTGGTCGATTACATTGATTTGGTTGACGCTTTTGACGGTTTGTATGTAACATACCATATTCTTCATATTTTGCAAGTGACAATATTTCATAATCATATCTTGCATCAGCATTTCCATCAATTTGAAATGCAAATGTCTTTGAATCTATTTGATTATAAATTATATTAAGTTTAGCATAATTTATTTGTCCCGATCTTGATAATGATTTTGTATTATCACTAAGAATATTTATTCCTTGATCAATACTCCATATCATAACTCCTTAAAATAAATAAAAAAAATCGAATTTCTATTTCATTTTATGTAGTTTTGGAATAGTTTTATTCAATTTGTTTTATACTCAAGTTCATATAGTTCTTAAAACAAGAAATTTGATATAGTAGATTAATAAGCTTAGCTTTTTCTAATGTACATACGTAAATTTGTTGAACAAAAGTGTCATACATTCCAGAATAATTCATTTACTCATAAGTTTTCCATATTTTCAACGCTTCCTGTATTTTTATTTCTTGATTTATTTCTTAGTTAGACATGCAAAAATGAATGGAATGACTAATCATTTTGTCAATCAGACTAGTCACTTTTATAGTAGTGATGAGTCAACTAGTAATTGATAAGTATCATAAACTCGAATAATTGACTACAATCCATTTCAAAATAGAAGGCGAGTGATTGTAAAATGAATAACTTGTGAACACGATGAGATATTGCAAAACAGTTGTCAGCAACTTGTAGGCAAATCCGGCGCATATCGAAGTATGGAAGGAATGAAAGAAAAATGTCGACCGAGTTTCTAGCGAGTTTTCAGATGAATCTTGGGAACAGAGCTGAGCATAGAACAGGATGAATTTAAAATTTTTGTTTTGTCCTGCTACCCACCTGAACAGGACAGGACTAATCAGTTGATCCTATATTTTATAGGATCTTTTTCACAATTTTCACATTACACATATTATTCCATAATACTTGATATAAGTTTACAAGAAAGAAGATTAGTCTTATTCATGAACGACTAACTCACATTTTATTGATTAGATCGATGCAAAAGAATAAAAATTTTTCTAATAACGTATTTTCTTTTTTGTTTTGTAAAGACTCTTATTGTCCTGCTAAATGTCCTGTCCTGTGCTGTAGGACAGGACAGAAAAATTCGTCCTATGCTCATCTCTGCTGTAGAAAGTCACGATTATTTTTAGGGATCCAATATTAGATTTTCAGTATTCACATGTGCATTCTATATACAGAAAAATCTTCTTTCGACCTAAGACAAGCCAAGATTTCTATCTTGTTTCGTTCAGAAATAATATGGGTTCTCCAAAAACCTTTGATTTCGATCAGTTGCCTTTCGATCAACCAAAAATATATCTAGAGAGGAATTTTCGACCACACGGAGCCGATCGCTGATATCTCTTCCCTTTTTCAAAGTAGTCTGCAATCACAGCTCAAACAGTTGATCGAAATCGAAGTTTTCTAGAGAGCCTATAATTTGTGAGCAAACCAAAATAGAAACCTCGACTAGCCGTAGTTCGCAAGAGAGCAGTTTCCTATATAGAATGAACATGTTAAAACTGAAAATCTAATGTTGAATACCTATAAATCATTGTGACTTGCTAAAGATCTACTTGAGAATTCGCTAGAAATTCGGTCAAAATCTTTCGAAAACCGTTTCGAAATATCTCATCTATGTTCGCGAGTTGTTCATCTCAGAATTTATCACCTTCTATTTTGAAATAGACAGTAGTTAAGACATTTTTCGATTAGTCTCTGATTAGTTCAAAAGTAGTCTACTGTTGATAGAACTACTTAAGGAGTCAGGACCATATGTTTTTTGTGCATGAATTTAAATGAAACATAAACACGATTGTTAACATCAATATGAAATACATAAAAACATCAAATATATAAACATGTTAAAAGATAGACGAATACTTTTTGCGGCATGTTTATATAAGAAATAATGTTACCTTTGTTTTTCTTTGTGATTAAATACAGTTTTCTTTTTTGTCTTCATGATTATTTAAAACATCAAAAAATAACTGATTTTAGATATGTCTTTTCAACTATCATTTACCTAAATAAGATTTCTTTTGCAAAATAATTTATCATTGTACATAAAAATTCACCTTTACTATTGTCTGCATACAGAAAGAGTTAAGATAATATATTCTATATACTTAATTTTTTAACTAAATATATATGTATATTACTATAGAAATGTTTTTTTTTTAATTTTACCTTTTAAACAATTTTCTGCTGCATATTTTCGTCTCATTGCTAATGTTTCTTCATCATCATATGCTACCCATTGATCATTATCCCAAACTAATATTTTTGACATTGAATCTTGATTGAATGTTGGAGTTAATTCATTTTTACTAATAATATCTTCTATTTCAAACCATGCAAGTACGCCTCCTGTTTTTGTACATGGACCTGGTTTTCCTGGTTCTTTAAAACAAATAAAAATAGTGGAATAAATAATTATACTATTTGTATTATTCGAACCTTTAAATTTACATCCAACTTTTGTACATGATGGATCAGCTAATGTAAATGATCTTCCATAATAACCAAGACCCAAAACAAGTTTATTTGTATTTACACCATCTCTTAAAAATAATTTTAAGACATCTGTTATTTCTTTAATATTTGTGTGTGATTTAACATATGGTCCTAATGATGCAATATCCCTATCCCATGCTCCATGTATATCATATGTCATAACATTAATAAAATCAAGATATTTTGACATTTCACCAATTTTAAAATGTCTTAAATACCAATAACTAGCTGGTGCTGCAATAGTTATTAAATAATTATTACCAAATGTATCTCTCATATCTTTAACTAATTTAACATAATTATTTGTATCCTCTGGTGAACCACCACGATCATCAGCTGCTGGATACTCATAATCAATATCAATACCATCAAATTGATATTTTTTTAAATAATTAGAAACTGATGTTATAAAACGTTTTCGAGAAGCTGAAATGAGAACAAAGTAAGTATGATTACAAAACAACAGTACAATATGCACTGACGAGCAAACTCTACCAAGTAATTAAAAGCTTTACAATTCATATTTACGCCATAAGTAGTGCTTTGTAGAACTAGATGAATTCTAAAAGGGTTTTCTTGAATAGGCCTATTTAGTTAAGATATGAACAGTTCAAGATTAGGATCAAAAAATGTAGATAGATTGTCTGTTGTGCATGAATTATAATACTAACATATATCAAAACAGAATTTATTGTTAAAATGCTCATCGATAAATCGTGAAGCTGTTGAAAGAATTATGCCGTGATGTTTATTTGATGATCTAACTGCTACATAAAAGAAGCACCAAGATTGTAACCTAGTGTCATGTGACCGAGTACTTTTCATCAGATATGGTAGATGTTGGAAAGATCTATGTTTTGATCATGTTTTCGTTATTTATCACATTTACTAAACTATTACCTACAAAAACTAATCACTCATGTTTCAGTTCTTCTAACAATTTCACTGTTTGTTTTAATTTTTTTCATCTATTACACCAGCGAATAAAAGAATTTCAGGCATGTCTACGCCGCTCTCAGGATGATTTATAGGAAATGCGTAAAACACTTCAAACTATGAATATTTTGAAAAATAGATTTTTCTTTTTGACATATGTTAGTATTATAATTCATGCACAACAGACAATATATCTACATTTTTTTATCCTAATCTTGAACTGTTCATATCTTAACTAAATAGACTCATTCAAAGAAATCCTTTTAGGATTCATCGAGTCTCACTAAGCACTACTTATGGCGTAAATATGAGCCGTAAAACTTTTAATCGTTTGGTCGAATTTTAGCGTTAGTTGCTTCATTAATATCTGAAACTACTTATAGTTTTATTATTTAATAATAGTTTAATATCTTTATATTTTATATTTAGTCTAATAACGAAAAAATTTACGTAAGAATCTTATCAGATTCTTCTATACGATTAAGAACGTACCGAACCTCAGACTAAATCAAGACTCTCAGTCTCGATCACCTTGAAATCCCTAAATAAGATTCAATCTTTAGGATAAGTACTCTAAAACAAACATTGAACGCCTAAATTCCTTTTTTTTTATCTATTTAAAGATTCTTCAGTACCTGTCTTATAAAAAATTGTAATCGTTCGAATTCATATTCATAAATTTATCTACTTTCTTGAACGGTTTATCTAACACAAAAAAAAAGTCTAAATCGATTTCACATACCATCAGTTGATATAATATTATGAAATTCGGTTCTTGTTGGCCCTGGATCATTAAATGCCCAACCTCCAACACTTATTAAAACTTTTAAATTTGAATTAATTTGTTTTAAAGCAACAAATTGTTGCATATTATCTTCTTCTTCTTTTGTGTTTGGATTTACCATAATACCATTTGATATATTACCAAATGCATAATTTAAATGTGTATAATCACGTGGATCAATATTAATTGATTTATATGATTGACATGAACGATAAGCAGCCCATGATGCATAATATCCAACTTGAATTAAATTATTTTGATTATTTGAACATTTTGGTAATTTTTTATCACCACAATTATTTTGACATTTCTTAGATATATCGCAAAAATCTGATGTTGTACCACAAAATCCATATTGACTACAACAAACATTTAATGGACATAATTTTTGTACACCATATTGACCACATTCAGCTTTTGCATTACAATTTGATAAACATCCTTGACCACAAAAATCTGGTCCATAACCACAATTACCATATTTACTACAACAAGCTTTATTTGTACATTGTTGTGTTTTAGAACATGTTTGGCATTGAACATAATTATATTCAAATAGATATAATAATAATGAAATAAATAATATTTTCATTTTATAAAAATAAATCTATAATTAATAATATTCACAAGAAAATTTCAACATACGATTTTTCTTATTACAATTTTTGAAACTATATTCTTTTACGATACATACATATATATATATGTCGCTTTCCTCTTTCTTTTGTTTCTTAAAATAAAATTTGCTAAATTATCGTCTATTGATGTATGCATATTGGGGAACTAATATGCGTCATTATTACTCAATTTTATACAAAGACATAAATAGAGTGGGATAAACACCTTCCCATCCCTGTATTTTAAATTTAACTATTTATACATCTAATTTTGAAGTTCATGTATGCTACAACCTCTCCCTTACGCCCCTGGTTTTATATATAAAAATTTTAACGTATTTATGGATTTACAATTCCTCTGACCTTGGTTTTTATTTTGATGTTTTACTGAAAATTATTCCTTGTAAATGGAAGGTATTTTTTCTAGTTCTCATTTTATTTTGTCCCTAATACACTAAATTACTTATGTTAGATTTTTTGTGGGATAATTGAAGTTGTAACAAGAATGACTCATTATATTTGACAATGGTTTATAAATGGAAAGTATATATAAAGAAAAAAAAAAACATCATGTGCGTAGAAAGGAATATTACAATTTGTTTTCTTTGTTTTTAATGATTATATCGTAATGGGGATGAAAAAATTACCAGTGACTCATTCATATATCCCACATGAACAATATACAGTGATGACAGAACATAAATATAACTAGACGTAAGTGGGTGACTGGTATTTTTCCACCACATTATATAAATAGATAGATTTACAGTATCAATCAGTATTTAAATAGTTGGTTTGAAACGAATCAAATTATTGCCATTATTGAAAAAAAAACAGTTGTTCTTTGGTTCAATAACTATTATTAGTTTATTACAAGACAAAATAATTTCACTTACAAAATATGAAGATGAACTACGGTAAGTTGATAGAATAAAATGTAGCAAATTCGAATTTAATTCGATATCTTCGAATTTATGTTCAATTTTGAATTCGAATTCGAATTTGAAATTGTTATTAGGTAATTTCTTCGTACTTTATATATTGAACAAATAGCTATCAGAAGAATGATAATAAAGCTAGTTTTCAAAATCTAATTTATTTAATCTTTTTATATAAAACTTAATTAACATTTGTATTGATCAGTTTTGTTTTTGAATCAAAATCTTGATTTTTTGGCTATCTAATTGTATATCGATAGTAATCTACAAAGTTTTCTTGTTTGATTTGAACCCAAATATTGTTCTGATGTATACAAATCTGTATGGTAATTTTAGGACAATAGATTTTTTAAACGAAAGTAACGTAAAAAGTTGGTATCTACCAAAATTTTCTCATCTACTGACGAGGGAAGGTCACCAACTGTTCAATCGCTTTTTTCTCAAAATCTAGTGGATTATAAGTAATCGACCATGCTGATTCTGAATATCACAATGATTTGGGCGGATAGATCTCCAGAGTGCCGATTTCTGGAAAACCATGTTTTCCAGCCAAAATTTTTTTTTGCTTAAAATGATTTTTCTATATGTCTAGATGAAAGGCCATATCTCAAAACCTATGAAAATATATTTTGTTTGTTATTTCATCGCTTATGAAGAGCGCTACGATCATGAAAAGTTTCCATATGTCAAGGCAGAGTTGGAATCGATTCATCGATTTAGACCGATTCTCTTTCTATTATCGAACGTGGACGTATATATCATGATTTTTCTTGTTGTTCGTGTTCGATAAAAGAAAGACAGCTCGTCTAAAATAGTAGACTAGTTTCGATTCTGTGCCAACAATTTTTACCTTTTTTTTTCGTATATTCACGAACATAGTGCGAACTACAATATTTTCTTTGACTTTTACATATATATTCTTGAATATTTCTACAAACGTTTATAGCTGCTACAATATCTGATATTCAGTACTAATAAATATCTGCCAAAAGTTGAGAGGGAAGTCACTTCTTATTTTTATATTCTTTGTCTTGATTCTGCACTTCTTTTTATGTTTTAGGAACCATGAATGTAGCCAATATCATAGATTGTCTGTCTAATTTACTGAAAGATAATTTAACTTTAAATTCAGCATCATGTATCTCACAAAAAGAACGTGAAGTTGCACAGCATTTGAGCGAAACAATCACAAAACTTAATGAATGTAAAATTTTTGAATTTGAAGTAGAGACAACATTAGGTGTAGGCGAAACATCAAATGAATATGAAAATGAAGATGATAAAAACACGTTCTATGATGATAATAGTTCGGAAGCGGATGATGAGTGGGAGTCGAAAGAGAACGAACGAGAACGTCATGATTTAAGCGACTATTCTTTAGAGTATATGAAAGAAGTTGTTGCTTATGCCGATGCCAAAGATTCATCGGGTAAGCGAAGACGAGCATGGAAATCAGTACATGAAAAATACAAGAGAATTCCAGCTCAAACATACATTAGTCGTTTTCGTAAATATCTTGAACAACAAGGGACAAAGAGACAGAAAATACAAAAAGTTGATGAAATGGTATTTCAAATGTTTGTGGAAGCAAGAGAAAAGAATCTTATGGTACATGATGTAGATATTCAAAGATGGGGCTTGAAAGTAGCCAAATATATGAAGTTAAATGAATTTCATGCATCAGATGGATGGGTTAAAAATTTCAAAGGTAGACACGGTATTGTTTCTCGTCGAGTGACAAATATCGTAACAAAGCATGAATCAGCAAATCTTGAATTAATTGAGAAATCAAAAGAAAATTTTATTAAAGATTTTTTATACACGTTCTTCTCATTTTAGATCATCACAGATTTTGAATACCGATCAAGTTGGTATCGAGAAAGAAGTACATTCTACTCGAACTTTATCGTTTGGAGGAGAAAAGAAAACATTTGGTGCTGTTGCTTCAAAACATGCAACAACTCATTCATATACTGTACAACCAATGATCTCACTTGATGAAAAACAGATAGGGCCTGTACTTTTATGTTTACAAGAGCCGAAAGGTAAGATGGGAGAAATTGTCAAACAGAATTTATTTGAACCTTCTAATGTTGTTATAACATGCTCATCTTCAGGTAAGTTGACGTCATCTTTGGTTACTTATTGGCGTGATCATTGTCTCTTACCTTCTATCGAAAATAAATGTCTTTTACTTTCGGATAGTTGGTCAGGTCAGAATGATGCGTCTCTGTACAGTAAAACCAATTGTAAAAATAAGCACATAACACGAATTCAGATTCCACAGAAAACTACAAATGATTTGCAACCCTTGGATGTCTATTATAATCGTCAAATGAAAAATTTTATTAAAAAAATTTACAACAGGGTTGCTTTGGATGAAATACCAATTCATATGTACGAGAGAAATAACATAATAAAGATTGTATCATTAGTTCACAATCAGCTTTCAGCACCAATTTTTCATCCAATGATACGTTATTCGTGGTTTGCTAGTAGGCTGTCAAAAATAGATCCATCTCCTTTTTCTAGTATGAATGAAGCGTGTTTTCCACCAATAACATCATATGAAAAGTGTTCAGTACAAAACTGTGACGAAGGTGTTTTAATTACTTGTGCCTTTTGTTCAAAGAAATTTTGTTTTTATG